TTCTCGAACCAAGCGACCTGCCTCAGCTCCCACGTTATTTGGTGAGCAACACGCAGCAGACCTCGCGGCTTCTATGGTCAAAGTGGAAAACGCGAGCGATGTTGCGCAAGATATTGAAGCGGCCTTACGTCCCCAAAATATCAACCATGTTGATATTGACCTGGTACTTCCGCCCGGATCAATTTCCCCTTTCCAACGGGATATGGATAATATCAGTGATGAACACTTGGAAGAGGAGGCGATACTTGACCCGCCATTCAAACAGTACGGACCATATGCCGCTCTAATCAAACAGTTTGGCGAAGTTACCTTTCTTCCAACGTCTAAACTACGTCGCGCTCCTTCGAAACCTACATCTATTAATCGAACCAAATCTTTCCTTAAGGACCAGAAAATTTCACTGCGTCGAGAGATGGGCGAACTAGTCGATACCGAAGAACGATATGTAATGAAGGTGAATGAGCTAGTTAACCAAATTGCTGATGAGTTTCGTACCAAAGCTAAAGTGCGGAAGCTTGGAAGTTCGAGCCCTACGGAGCAAGACCTACAGAAACTTTTTCCCAAATCCCTCGATATGATTCTAGAGACGAATACTGCGTTTCTTGCTGCCATCAGAAAAGTCATGGATGAGACGGAGGATGAGGCTATGCATGATCTTGAGACACCTACCACAGGCTCTACTGTGTCTCGCTATGGGGGAACAGGGCGCTTGAAAGACCCAACGGGAGCGCTTGCATTTGCCAAAGTGCTCTTGGAATGGTTCCCTCGGTTCTCAGATAGCTATCAAGAGTACATTCGTGCCAGCCAAGATTTCCCGCAAATTATTTCCTCATTTGCCAAGCAGCAGTCAAGTTTCTCAGATCGCCTGCAGCAAACTGGAGAACAGCGTCTCCGCTCAGCAATAATTGAACCAGTTCAAAGGCTTCCGCGATATACTCTCTTCATTGACAATATTATCAGCTATCTTCCTGTTACTCACCCAGCCCTCAACTCTATGCTGCGAGCTAGAGATATCATCACTTCTATATGCTCTCTCGACCCGCCTGAATCTGACATTCCACAAACAATCAATCGCCTCCGCAACATTGTCGAGTCATGGCCGACTTCTCTTCATCCTAAAGGCCGGCTAATCACAGCTATTGACTTCCTCGAGCTCTCTGCTCCCTTCCATTCAAGCTCCTCAACCTCGGATGTCTCACGACAAGGCATATTTCTCTTGTTTGCCGACTCATTTGTAGTGCTGAAGAAGACCAGAGAGTGCAACCTTTCAGCGCGAGGAGTCATTGCAGAAGTTGATAAACCGTCAGCAGCAACTATGATGGCTTCCGTGACGGCTACAGCCGGTGGATACAATCATGCGTACGAACTAAATTTTGCTGGATGGCATAGTCTTGCTGATGCTCGATTTACCATGTCAGATGATGGTCGAATTATCTGGCTGACATCCTTACAAGACTTGAAAGATGCCGGATCAGGCCGAGAACGAAATTTGCCACCCACGGTCCGAACCTTCCTTCTACAAGGCTCTTATGAAGGCAAAGCAATGAAGCTGACGGAAGAAATTTGTAAAGCTAGAGTGGAAGCAAGATTTTCTGAGATGGAAAGGGAGACGGATAAGTGGAGCTTCCGGTCCATTAAGTTGGAAGCCGCCTCACTCAGTCTTCACACTGCTATCTTTGAGGAGGGTATTGATACACTTATAGAAGGCCGAATGGAGCCGGCGCCAATTCGTATCGTTGTGGACCACTCAAAGGGTACCAAGGGTGCGCCAGTTGGTCATTATGGCGTGAATATAGTTGCAAATATCACCGCGCTTGCTAATAGTGCGAAGTATCGGATAGAAGTGGGTGGGCTTCATGACACATTGTTCATTGACGAAGTAGTCTTGGAATATCTTCTGCCGATTTTTGCTCAGCGGGGTAAGTGACATGCCACAGATGGAGGATGTAGCATTCTAATGTTCCCTTAGTTGCCAATCTTCTGGCTACACAGAATCGCACTGGCACTCCCTGCTTGGTCCCACCTCTTGCTTCATTTTACACCAAGATCCTCAAATCAATACCTGTTGTAGTTGAGGGTGATAAATCAAGATCATTTAGGCCTGCTTCACCAGTCAAGATGCTTTCAAGCCTACTGAATTCTGGTTTCAGTAGCTCGGCGTCATTTAGTAACTTTGGATCCTTCCACTCAAGCCAGCAAAAACAATCACGCACTCCATTACTAGGCAACATCCCCACAATGACTTCAATACAAACTATTTCGAGAACGGGCAGTAACAAATCTACGCAGTCACTGCAAGAGCAGGACGGGAGGTCTAGCGTTCGTACAGCAGCTGCTGAGGGCATGCCACCGAACCCACTAATGCGCTTAGAGGAGACCTTCACTGGTTATGTTGCCGCTCTGCAATCTCGAAAAGGTAATATCATTGGCAGAGTACTAAGAAATCGGGATGGCGCAGATGAGCTTGCTGTCAGCGCGCTGTACAATACATTCATTGAAAATCCATTCGACCTTCGAGCGGCATCTGAAATGCCTGTGGATGTTATCTTCGTAGCCTTCGAGAAGTATCTGCGAATGGCATGGAGAGATCAGATGGGCGAGGTCATGTCTCTATCAACCTTGAACGCTCTGCAAGAAAGGGTTTTGCAATCTTCCGCGAACGACTTTACGGATTATGTTCGCATGACTTTTGGAGAGATGGCACCGCAGAATAGGAGGGCATTCATCGCTATCATTAAATTACTTGCCGACTTGTTGGAGGGTTGCGGAAATGATGGCGACCGGGGTGCCATGACTGCCTCATTTGCGGAATTGCTTGTGATTGATGGCCAACCTCACGATTATATTAATCTTCTGGATCGTTTAGTCGCGGATTCAGAGAGACTCTTCGAAGATATCGGGCCAGGGGCTATGCCTGTTCATAGTAACTCTTTGTATGGATCGATGTCTGGAAGTAGATCAAATTACTCTACTGCGGGATCTTTAACTTCCAATACCTCTTCATTACGGAAGAGATTCGCAGATACGCTTCTTCGACAGAACAGCCACAAGGGTGATTCTGATCCACGATCGTCTGTGTGGCGTACGCTGAGCAAGTCGAATCGGAACGCAGCTACCGGAGAACAGTCGAATTCATCCAGCCTTTCCAAAGCATCCCTTACCAGATCCCGATCAATCGAGTCACCAAGGCGTCCCGTGTCGCGAGAGAGGCCCACAATTTTGGGTGCATTTGATGAGCGACCTTCCAGCTCTCACACACAGTCTTCTAGGTTGAGCACCATCGGTGCTTCACCTCCACCTGAGGAGAAGGATAATACAGCTAAATCCGCCAAGAAGAAGCGACGAAGCTCGTTGTCCGATCTGAAGGCTTTGATGGCATCTGCCACTCTCGCAAGTTCCCCATTAGGCCCAGTATTACCGCAGCAAGGGCAAGAGCTCAAGTCCAATTCGCCTCGAACCCCATCCCCCAGCAAGCTACCTGTTGCTGGTGGGGTGACCGGAAATCGCCCAATGTATCGATCTGGTTCGCCCACCCACAAGGAAAATATAGCTTCAGGCCAAGGGTATCGAAATATTGGCAATTTAACGGAGCGACCACAGAACATCATGTCTACAGCAGATACAGTCGTTGTTAGGAATTTGTGGGCAGGAAATAAGGGACATTCTAAAACCAACTCGCTAACCTCAAATATTCCAACATTGAAAAGCACCCCGGGACCTTCATCATCCAGACAAACATCGAGTCCGCAGAAGTCTCCTCAAAAGCTACGCCTGCAAAGCCCGCAGAAGTTACGAGAGCGCCTACAAAATGAGGCTAAAGCAATAGGAGAAGCCGAGGCATCTCTGCAAAATGAGCTTTCAAAAATCGGCGAAGAAATGGCTAAACTTAATGCTGCCTCTTCCGTACGCCCAAGCGAAATAGAAAAGCTCTCTCGCAAGTTAACCACGCTCGAATCCCATATCCCGGAAGTAGTCAAAGACTTGCAGACACAAAACGAGCAAACAAAACTTGATCTTGAGAGGTCGCTTCAGGCGTCGGATATTAAGGTCAAGGGGCTAGACCAGCTTTATAAGGAGAGCAGTGCAGAGAATGAGTTGTTGTATGAGAAGTTCAACGCAGAGCTTGGAAAGATTGTTAAAGCCCTGAAAGGCAAAGGGAAGGAAGATAAGGAGGAACTTATTGCGAAGCTGAAAGAGAGTAGTGAAGAGACGGCAAAAACAAAGAAAGAGAATGCTAGATTAAGGAGGGAGCTTTTAACAGCCAGAGCCTTGGTTAAGGCGAATGAGTGACTGAAAGTATAGCTGTGTGACCAGACAGTATTACTGATAGGAGAATGATCGGATCCTGCATTTTGGTGGAGCATGCACTGGCGTTTGGCTGGGGCAGTTTATAGTGTGGGTCACACTTGGCAGCTAGGTGTACTGTACCGTAAATGATTGTGTGGATTACGGAATGATTAATGAATACTAAAAGTAGTTTTAATATGAAACTGCCCCTGCAATTATCCACGAGGCGCCTCTGGCGTGGAAGCAACATGACAGCGTAAAGGATGGAAAATTACGAACTTGAATAGTGGTAAGCTCAGCGGCTACCTTCTTGGCTATATTCTTAGCCTGGCATATGATGTCTCAACATTCAAATTTAAGTTTGAAATGTAGCATCCGCAGTCATTTACCTTCCTTCCTTTTTGCTGCGTATCCAGCAAGCCCTCAAGCCAGCAATCACATTCTCTCACTTGAACCACGAAGCTCAACAGGACACGAAAGAAGAGAAAGGAAATCAGATACAAAGGGGACGCAAAATTAAATGACTTTTAACGGCTCATTAACAGCTGTGTTGCACTTGTAGAAATCTAAAAGGGGCGAGGCTCTGTTTCTTCGCTAAGCTGTCCGGCTCTCGAAACGGGCTCCTTTCTTTGTGCAAAGGAGAGAAGGTAAAGCTTCGAGATAATAACAAAAAGTCCAAAAAAATTTGAAGATTTAGAAATCATTAGATCTTCAGGTCGTACCCGGGCTCGAACCGGGGATTCGGGAAATCTAAATTTTGATGTCATCAAAATCCCACGTGCTAACCGCTACACTATACAACCGTTGCCAATAAATTTTCTTAATTATATAGATAAACACATAAGCGAATTCGTTACTTCTCATTCGGAATACTTGCAGTGGTCAGGATTTCAGCACCAAGGAAAATGAACGATAAAACAAATTGTTGTGCATATTTATTACATGCGATATTATGGTCCATGCATAGTCTGTGTTGAGTACAGACTCTATTGTGTGTTGACTCTCTATCTCTTACACTGTAAGGTCTACGGCAAATACCTTCCTCTTATGATGGCCGCCACCTCAACTGGACTATACCTTTCGGTGCATGACCCCAGCTGCCGCCTGATTTGATCAGCATGGTGACTGGAGAATAAAGGAGAAATACTCTACCTGATGACTTGGAAATACCAAAGTATCTGCAATCACCACATTCTCTCTTCGTCCGGCGGCAAACACTATAATCTCGGCGATATCATCAGGAGTCAAGGGCTCACAACCCCTACATCGATTAGCACTAACAACTCCCAAGATTCATCCAGGGAACATACGCATATACGGCATCCGCTTTTGACCTGTCCCCGTAGAATCTAACCACCGAGAATTCCTATGTCTGGTTAGTTTCATCTGGCAAACCTTCCAGGAAGGAAAACGCACCGTCTCAACTTGTCCAGGATCAATTTCAATAACCCTAATCCGTGTAGCGATCAATTCCTTTCTCAAGGCATCTGTAAAGCTTCTGACGGCGGCTTTCGTCGCACAATAGATGCTCCCGCCTGCGTATGGCTCCCTCCCGGCTATGCTGCCAATATTGATGATATCGCCCTTTCCACCTTCATCTCTGCTCTTGAAAATTGGGAGGACCGCCTGGGTCATATTAATAAGACCCGTAACGTTCGTTGCAAACTGGACATTGATATCCTCTGCCGCAATATCTGGCGCCCTGGCAACGCCCTTCACTAGACCCCTGCGACACTTCAGTCAGCTTTGATCGAAGCAAACGACGACAGGCAAGCGGACGCATTATTAACCAGGATATCGATATCCCTCCACTCCTCTGGTAGCTTCTCCACGAAACTGCTCACCTCCTCGGGCTTGCTAACGTCCAATTGGAAGGGCAGGACCTTGACGCCGTCGCCCACCTCTTTCGTGATATCCGCGGCAATCTGTTTGAGCGTGTCAATCCGTCTCGCGGTGAGGATGAGCCGCAGGTTATTGGGCGACGTACGCGCGAACTCGGCAGCAGTACTACGTCCGATGCCCGACGAGGCGCCAGTTATGACAATCGTCTTGCCCTCGAGGCGCTTGCCCATTGCAGAGGAGGCCATGGTGCGGAAAGGGGTGAGGGGTGATCGTGCGATTGATAGAGCAGAGAGCGTGCGGAGAAATCGAGAAGCGCACAGAAAGGGCATATGTTTAAGATGTTTTGCTTTGAAAAGTGTTTGGAAGAGTGGGGTTGGGATATTGCGCTATCACAACATATCACGAAGCTCTTAGTAGTTGTGGTTTTACGACCCCTCCGAAACGGTGCCACCAACCGCCGATATGCCGAGCACATCATCATCTCGCCAAGATCCTCGCTGAGAAAAGCATGACACGATGGCATTCGTAGTTTGTAAGTAGAGTTTCTGAATTAACAATCACAATTTAAGATGCAGTAACATCGTTACAGCGCTCTTCGATTGGGCTGAGTCTCTCGAATTGGAAAGCGTCGCTAATCATGATGTGCTGAACTCTCTTCAACCAGTGTTTATGCTCGGTAGATATTACCTTCCGCTTCGCGCGCCGCTCGTGTCTGGCACTTTTTTGAGTGCCCGATAATAATGCTTGCTAGTTGCAGAGGCCTTATAGGTTTCCGCTAGACTGTTATTTCGAATGGGGGTGGTGACCATCGTGTAGATAATTGCAGTCAGCCATCATCAGCGTGAGTTGAACTACCTTGACATAAAATCGTCCCTAATCAGCCATACAGAACATTTTGCTCTCCACTTCCGACTCCTACTTTTACCTTTTCAGACGTTCAAAATTAAATCCAAGGTCTATTTCGAATCGGAGCTTGCGATCCACCTTTTATCTATCGGAGAGCGCAGAACTTCTCAAAGCCCTCCCCTCGGCCGCTGTTGCAGCGTCAGGGACGGAACTGTTACTGATTTCATAAAAGAAGGCAATTATTCTGACAGCTTACCGGAGATGCATTCTGGATTCTCATAGACAGACGGACGCTATTCCTTTCAAGACATCTTGACACTTGAGTTTGCCGGTGAAGAATACAGTGCCTCACAGTCATTAATGCCAGATTCGACTACCATCACCGAAAGACTTGCCGACAGGTGCAAACATTTGCCCTTCCTTACTGGAGAGCTACAATCAGTCCAAAACTGGGGCGCTTTTTGTAGGAAAATATTCTTGCGAGGTTTGTCGTCGTGTTTTCAACCGCCAGTGCGACCTAGAGTCGGTTTCTAGATCACAAACAAACACTCTATATTACTTATATTCAAACAGCCAACACAATCGGTAACAGTTGCGGAAGTTTATGTGCACACTTACCGGTTGCCACTTTCAATATCGTGGATTCGCAATTAAGACGGCAAATGAATACTGTTGGACATAGACTCTGTGTTGCCAGATATCTTGCTCTTACACCCCCATGTTCAGACGCCTACTAAATACCCTTAATGCTAACCTAACATTTTGCGTAGCTTCCTATTTCGCACTTCCCCTTGACAATTCCTGTGGCTGCTTACCCTCACGTGGTTCCACGTCATGTAGCCCCACAACAGTCCGTGCTATGATTCAAAGCGCCAGTTACCTATATGACTTGGCTGAGGTCCTTTAGTAGTCACAGTATTGGGTAGCGATAGCCTAGACTCATAGTGGCGTGAGGGGATAGTCACGCTAATACAGTCTGATGATAGATCAGACCCTTGGGTTGCAACAGGTGCTTAGTATGAGAGTACTCTGTAGATATGTAGTTAAACTAGGAACAATCATCATTTTCCTTAATCAAGTATCTTCTAAGTCCACACAAGGATTGTGCACAGAATTCTTATGGAGATTTTCTATAGTAGAACAATTCTATTGAAGGCTAAAGTACATTCGATTTAGTACCATGGACTCTACTTGCCGTGCTTATTTGTGGATGGGGTAGTTTATTTATGATTAACTAAATTCGGTTAGGATGGCTCTGAATGCAGGTGAAATCAAATGCGCAGACGAAGGGTACGCGCGTTTCGTAAGTCACTGTACCTATAATTGGCCCAAGGGGGAATCCAGGAATTGTACAAGCAGGATGCATAGCTAAAGATGATAAATCCCAGCAAGAATGACGCTGAACAAGAAGGATGTTCTTTGGAATGGGATATCCCGCCGTCTCCTGAAAGCAGCCACTCTCGCTTATTCTACCTCACCCCTATTTACAATCCCGTATTTGGTAGTCGAGAGAACAATGCCTTTCTGAAACTATAACAGACTAATACTAAGAGCTCTTCTTTGTCCTCCAATGTTTTCGTCGAGTGCGACCTTGTATAGTACTGTTACTCGACTCTCACTGCACGTAGTAAAGAATTTACAATTGCATCCAGGTTAGGGATGAGGAACGAGCTTAGGACGGACAAAGGCGCTCGTCGGATCCGGACACCCGAATCTTTACCAAATTTGAAAATCTCTGCTCTTGTTATTCAGATAGAGACATATTAGTCAGATTCTGTTATTTCCATTGTTGAATTCCGCGATAAGTGATTCACGACGTCGCCAATTTGCGCAGCTGCCTGACCTGTCACGATTTCATGATTTTCCCATTATGGAACAAACCCCTTTTGGAGCCCCGCCAAACAGTGGACAAAACACTCCCAGCAACCCTTATCAACACTCACACCCCAACCCCCCCGAGACTTTTGACCTTGAACCGGAACCAATGCAAGATGTTTCAACGCAAGAAAATCAACTACAGCCAGGCACTAGCGGAGGTCAAGAGGGAAGCCAGGGCGAACTGCCCAGGCATCCAGTTGCTGAGCCCCTTTCCCTTGTTGCCGAGGTAGACTGGAATGCGGCAGCCACGAAAACTGACGAGGAAAAAGAGTGGGAGGAGTATATGTCCATGATAGACAGCGACAAGTCTGCCATAAGTCTAACCCCTGAAGAATATCTGGGTCAAGGGCTGCAGCAGGGCGTTCCATGGGGTTCTGAAGCTTCAGCTTGGGGACCGGGTATTAACGGCGAGACGATTACTAATGCACTGTTCCCTTTGTATAATGACATACCCTCTGAATATCGGACGCGAGAATATTGGACGACACTTGTAGAGGCATCGAGAAGCATCTTTGCCATCACACCTCAATCGTGGGTGGATGAGATGGTGCGAAGGCTGAACCTCCCAACCACAACGCCAGAATCGCTATTCGGTTGGTCATATTTGAGCTCGGATTGGAGACTTTTCTTTCTGAGCGGCCAAGAGTACTTCAGACCTGGGAATGTCACTCCTGAGGTATGGATAAGCATGGTGTGCAGTCTTCGCAGCTCTGATCCACAAACATGGAGAGCACGACAGGCTTTAGAACGGGGAGATCCAGCAGGCTACATCTCCCACTACAGGCCGACGATCCCAACACCAGCACCTCCACTTAGACTAAATCCAGCAGCGTTTGGTCCAATCCCTGAGACCTTCGACCCGCGCAAGAAGGCCACCGAAGGGTTGTTAATTAATTGTCCTGAGTACTGGGGGGACTTTTTTGACGACGGACCGCCCAAGGAAGGGGAATCAGAGACGAAAGCCAATCTTCGGATCAACATGGCTCGATCCAACATGGGTATCATTCGTCGCCCAACTGAGAAACTTCCCCGCCTGGAAAAGTCAGCACGTTCTACTATAGATGTGAAGGCATCCAACGAGCGATTTGAACTAAGTAAGGCCATCGTCACAAAGAATAAACGACTCGCTGCAGAACATAATAGGAAGATGGATGAGACCCACCCTAAATTTGATCCCATTTACCGTGACGCGTGGAGACGGCAACAGAAGGATAGGCGTGCTGAGAACAATCGTCGG